AATAAGGTCCGACAGATATTCTCTTTTGGCCTCTTTTACTGTGAGCTGGTAGGTACGCCAGCAGTCTTTCCAAATTTGATAAGAGACCTGCAATTTGTCTTTTTTCCACTTGCATTCGGCTTTGCGACACCCCTGCCTAGCTGCGCGAGTTTTGTCGTTAAACCAAGGCTTGAGTTTAGGTTTTGGGAGCACAGTTTTTGAAGGAGCCACCAAATCCAGGATGGCATGGCATGATGAGTTGAACCAAGAGGTGAGTTCCTCTGTGTTAGACGAGGGTACGCGAAGGTTATTAAAGGCATCAGAGAACCGACCAGCAATGCGAGGGTTAAAAATTCGGTTCCTCTGTGTGAGACGAGGGTACGCAAAGGTTATTAAAGGCATCAGAGAACCGACTAGCAGTGCGAGGGTTAAAAATTCGGCGGTTGCAACTCGGAGCGGCAGTCTTCCAGGTTTGACACCGGTAGACCATAAGCAAGGACAAGGTCTAAAATATGTCCTTGTTCATGTGTCGGGCTGGTCACATATTGCACGAAATTAAGAGTCGATAAGTCTTAAGAAGTCCTTTGCTAGTGGTTTTTCCGGACAGCACACATGGATATTAAAATCCCCCATTAGGAGGATATGATCCTATCTCAGCCTGATTTCCGCAAGAAAGGTTGAAAACTCACTTAAAAAGTCTTTGTTGTATTTAGGAGGACGGTAAATTATAGTGCAGAGCACCGGGAAAATGCGACCGACTTCAAAGAAGGTTGCTTCAAAGCTGGTGGTTGATGTCGTGAATGTGCACAGTTTACATTTGAAATTGTTCTTAAAGATACTCACCGTTCCTCCACCACGGCCTGAGGTCCTCGGGGTATCGAGGAATGCACAGTCAGGTGGCAACAATTCAAGTAAAGCGTTGTACTCACCAGTACCTGCCCAAGTCTCCGTCAGACACAGGAAATCCAAGTCATTGGAAAGGAAATACTCCCTCAGAATATGGGTCTTGTTCGTCAACAACCGGGCGTTTAACAACGCGATCCTTGTAGGAGTAGCAACGGGAGGGATTGCCTCTTCCGATTGCCGAGCCCGGGGGAATTCCTTCAAAAGCTTTCGCTGGACTCCTCGCCGAGAAAGGCGCAGAGGGTAGAAATGCCGTGGCGCGGTGGGAGAGCCAACGACTGTCATCAAGCACGAGGTGACGGGGTCAAGGGCACGCCACGACGGAGTAATTCTGTGCGTTCGGGAACGAGCAGCAATCTTAGTGTGTATCAGATCCCGTTTTAGCTTCACGAGCTGACCGCTACGTTTGCCGCGGCGGCGGCGGCGCACTTCTGTGAAGGGGGCGACCGAACGCGGAAGAGATTAGCTGGCACGTTAGCCAAGAACGGAGGTAGCGTCTTTTCACCACCGTCTTGCCAAAACGCGGCCGAATCTCCGACGTGTTGTTGAATCAATAACAACGACTGGCGATCATAAGCCAATCGAGACGCTGTTAGGAAGGTAACAAGCATTGTGAATAGTAAAAAAAACCGAAATAGCAGGAGCGTCGCCGAACACACTGGCGACTGTCCGTCATCTTGGATTCCTTATTACAATTACAGAGAAATGGCAAACGGGACAAGAGAGGGAAGGACCATCTCAGCCAAGGACAGCACAGCTAAAATCATATAAGCAACCCACAATCACTGTTAATGACGAAGATCTGATTTCAACGAAACATTGTGGAGTGACACAAGGGGAAAACAGCATGCACATCGTGGATACAGATGTAGGACACTGGAATTATTTTGCTAACATGAGATGAGATGTGATTTAAAAAAAATAAATTCTCAGTAAATAATGCATGTATTTGATTGACACAACTGTTTGAGGATGAGTGTACCTATAAAATACAGTGCAATTACACCAAATGGATTTGACTTTGTATTTCAGTGTTTACCACAGCAACTGCTTCTGAGTCCAGGACCTCCTCAACCGACATTACAGTGTAGTAGGCCACATTAATCAGCACGTAGCAGGTTGTCACAATTGCCATGGAGATACAGATAGCCAAGGGCAGTGTCCTGAAACATAAGCGTTCACTGTTATACTCATGTACTAAAGTTCATGTCAGTTTGTTATCAGAATTTTTTTTGGTTATCGGCATTCAACCTTTTAGAGGGGTTGAGAAGATACTTTGTTGTTAGATTTATTACAATGCAACATTTTGAAGCATTTGGACTGTCTTCTCCGACCATTTTAAATCAATTTGTGATTCATCTGACCTTACAAAATTAATCAGTAGCCCAATGCGTCCAAATGCTAAACAGCCATTGAAATCCTCCTTACTTGATTTCTTTTTAAGAAATGTTCCTTATAAGTATTCAGATGTTGACATGTTTGCTAATCATGTGTGATTGCTGCATTATAGCGACAAACAATTTGAATTTTGCAGAACATGCCTATAAATTGTGTTTGATTTTCTACATTTCTGTGAGCGTGCTTTTTATCATGACTTGCAGAGTTTTGACATGAACAAGATGTCCCTTGTAGACGAGGTGGAAATTGGAAATATTTCTCTGACAGTTTTTCTGAGACTATCAACAAACCTGCATCCTATCACAAATACAGAGTCAAAGGCCACCTGCTCCAACCCTTTTTTTCCCCGTGAGCTGTCTCAACTTTTTAAAGCACTTTTAAAAGAAGTGATGTTGCTTGGGCTAATGCGAGGAAATCAAGGTCTTAAGCTAATTGGATGAGTTTCAGATGTCTCTGGAATCCCGATACCTGCCTTTTAAAAAGTCACAATATGAGTAATAATCCAAAACTCACTAAATGAGCTAAATAAATTATGGAAAGCAATAAAATCAACCATGTTCGCATGTCGACCTCACAGTGCAGAGGTTGTGGGTTCGATCCCAGCTCCGGCCTCCCTGTGTGCAGTTTGCATGTTCTCCCTGGGCCTGCGTGAGTACTCCGGTTTCCTCCCATATTCCAAAAAAAACATGCAGAGCAGGCTGTTGAATGCTCCAAATTTGCCCTAGGTGTGAGTGTGAGCGCGGATGGTTGTTCGTCTCTGTGTGCCCTAAGATTGGCTGGCAACCGGTTCAGGGCGTCCCCTGCCTACTGCCTGAAGATAGCTGGGATAGGCTTCAGCACGCTCCGCTAGCCTTGTGAGGATAAAGCGGTTCAGAAAATGGATGGATGGATGGTTAAACTCAACCTCTGGAAAAATACAAAGCAATGAACTTCCAATTCACTTAGCATTTCAGACAAAACCGTAATTCTAAATTCCTTGAATGAACACTTTGTCTCTAAACTCTACTTATTTGAGTTATGCACTCAAATTCAACATCACCACCTGAAAATGTTGACCACCCGTGAGGCGAATTTTCAGACCCATTTGGCCTCAATCCTGTGTCTAAATAAGGGACTATAATAATTACAGGCCAACTTTGAAGCTCTGCATTCTTGCAAACGTTTGAATGAGGGTAGTTAATGGCATTATTGAGGCACTGGATGGTTAAAAAAATAAATAAAAACTATACTGGCCTAAACTTCCTGTTGCTGTTGGTTGGTTCTCAAATCATTTGTCAGAAAGAACGCAATCTGCACATTTTGCTATATTGTCTGCTTCCTTTCTTCATGTTTCTAAAGGGGTCCCTCAGGGATCTGCTATAGGTCGACTGTTATGGTCCATCTACTTCATTGATCTCTGTGTGTCAAATGCCTGTTTTCATTTTTATGCACATGACAGTCATTTATTGTTGCACCACTGGAGCGGTCACCAACGTGGTGCCCGCGGGCTCCAGGGAGCCCTCAAGGACTACATGAGTAGCCCGTGGGCCTATTCTAAAAATAGATTTTTATTATTATTGTGCTCTTCCCATGTTATCTGTGTGCATGCTTGGGTAAAAACCAATGGCGGTTTTGTGCTTTGAAGCAAATGACAGTTCCAAGGGTCATTCAAACATGCTGCTCCCTTTTCATTGAATAATTTACAAAAGGATCTGAACTTGTCAAAATTTATTACTCTGGGAGGATTAAAATATTTTGTAAAAGAATGTGAAATGTATGGTATTGGACAAAGTGACTGCTTTTAAAATTAGCAAATTTGTAGAATTATTTTGTATTGATATATGTTTCGGATTGTGTGTATAAATCGCGTAGTATGTGGTTATGAGAATGACTGTTTTCTTTGATTGTTGGAACCATGTATTTGCTCGCTCAGACAGGCCACTCTTGAAGAAGACATTTTAGATCTCAATGAGTTTTTTATGCGGTTAAACAAAGGGAAATGATAAAAGAACTGTACGAAAAATAAGGAGCATAACATATATTTTTTTCTCTTGAATCCAACAGAAATTCATGTCTCAATTTTGGCCTTTAAGTAAGTGATTTAGCGGCTGACCAAGTGTGGGCTCCATGGTGAGCATTTATTTCCATTTAAAAACAGATATGTAAACTTACCTCTCAGGATTATGAATTTCTTCTGTAACAAAATTGAGGTAGAACCTGGAAAACACATCACCTGCATGATGAGCAACGCGTGTGTTTGGTGGCATACAAAGTACAATTGTCACAAATTCCAAACATAATGTAAACTTAATGCCTCAGCATTACATACTGCATCTGCCACTTATGGTCCAAATCCAGAGTGGGGCTTTAAGTCTGCTCTTTACATAAATAATTTTTTTTTTCGCCCTCTCACTTGGTTTAATATGGTACTTGTTCTTTGCATAACATTGGATTGTTTTCTGCTGCAACCTGTGAATTTTGCTGATGTGGGATCATTAAAGTAAACATCCACACGTTTATATCCAGTGAAATACTTAATAATGATATACATAATGGTCACTGATGGTGCTGTGGTACATTCGCCTGATTCATGTGCGGGCAGTGTGGGATTGGTTCCCACTCGGTGGTGGTGTGGATGTGGGTGTGAATGGTTGTTTGTGTCTGTATGTGCCCTGCGACTGCCTGGCGACCAATTTGGTGTGTAGTCTCCCTTCCACCCAGGCAGGGTCAAGCAACACCAGCAAACCCTGTTCAGGAAAAAGGATGTTTGAAAATGGATGAATGGAAAAACAACCAAAATTTTGGAAACTTTTTGTGCCCGCTCTCTGACTCTCTCTCTCTCTTACTCACTCTCTCTCTCTCTCTCTCTCTCTCTCTCTCTCTCTCTCTCTCTCTCTCTCCTTTTCGCTCCAACTCAATTCCAATGTAGTTGTATGTTGTGTTTATAACATTAATAATAACAGAATACATCCATTCGTCCAGACATTTTCTGATCCGCTTTTCCACACTCCGCTTTCCTCCCGCATTACAAAAACATGCATTGCAGGTTAATGGAGCACTCTAAATTATCCCTTGGTGTGAGTGTGAGCGCAAATGGTTGTTTGTCTATGCGTGCCCTGTGATTGGCTGGCAACCAGTTCAGAGTGTGCCACCCCTACTGCCCGAAGACAGCTGGGATGGACTCCAGCATGCCCCGTGACCGTCGTGAGGATAAAGCGGATCGGAAAATGAATGAATGAATGAATGAACGTTCCCAGTTAGCCTGTGGAATGTTCCAAACAGTTGTTTGATGAACATCGCTCAACTTTCCCATTTATGCCAACTGTTTCAGCTTTTTAGGAATATATTGTAGCCATAAAACTCTAAGTTAATGATTTTTGGCTAAAATAATGAAGTTTATCAGTTTGAACATGAAACATCTTGTCATTGAAGTACAGTATATTCAATTAATTATAGGTTGAGCATGATTTGCAAATCATTGTATTCTGTTGTCATTTACGTTATCTATTGTGTGTCGATCTACACACACACACACACACACACACACACACACACACTCCCACACACACACACACACACACACACACTGAAGAAAGTCCCGGTATCCTAGAGGCTAAAATTGAGAAGTGTGTGTGTGTGTGTGTGTGTGTGTGTGTGTGTGTGTGTGTGTGTGTATATATATATATAT